GGTCAATCAATCTAGGTCTTCTCCGCCAACGGCGCCAGCACACTCTCGGCCTCCTGCAAGATGTCCAAAATCTGCGGGAAGACCCATTAGCGACTGGAATTACAAAATGGAACAAAACTGACCTCACGTTTCTGCGCACCCGCAACGCTGTTGTCCAACGCGAGCCCAAGGCCGAAATGTGTCATCTCGTCCAAAATGCCGATGGTGCGAGCATTGATCTGGGCGGCGCTAGTTGTCGTCAAGGAAGAGGCAGTCATCGCAAGAGACGAGGGAGAGGATGAATCGCTCGTTGAAGCAGGCGACTACGGAATCATGAGATGCTGTTCGATATCGAGCGTGGACATCCTGAAAATGGGGACATCTCTCAAGAGACGATTGGCAGAGAGCCTGGAACAAGCGAGACGTTGGATGAGGATGGCAAGGCGTCTCGGTTGGATGCTGGGCCACGTCCTGGTTGTACGCCGTCGGATAACTAGGTCGACGTGTGCCTGTTTCTGCACCATTGAATATTGTGTTGCGAACATCCAGTGAATATGTCGATCCAGTCAACATCGGAGTAAAGTCAATGCTAAACAAGGACGACGACGACGACGACGTTGCTGATGCGTATGAGTATTCTTCGTCTAGATCTGGTGCCGTCTGTTACGCACCAGGCGCAAACAGCTCCACGACCAAGTTTCCATCGTCCAATGCTGATATCTTCGGTTAGAAGGGGCCGTTTCCAAACATCGCCGACCAACGTACTGAAATTTCTTCGTGTATCAGAAATACTGGCCATGAATTCACCCTCGGAAATCTTGTCTGGAACGAGCGCCTCCTTCTCGTGATGCCGCTTGAGGTCCGGAGTCCCCTCTGCGATGTTGAGCAAATGCAATCGGCCCCGATTCAAGAACGACTGGTTATCGTCAAAAAAAAAAAAAAAAGACAGGGGAAGAGAGCGACGAACGTACAGCATACGAGGTTAATTCTTTCGCAAGCCGGCCGTCAACCTCCGGCCGTTCCCAGTTTTCACGTCCGCTTAAGAGCGCAGGCCAGCTAACTGACACCGCTTTCGTTTGGCGTAACGTCCCTTGAGACGGTCGGGAACAGGCATCGGAAGCTGCACAGGCAGAGATGGACCGCTGACGTGCTTGACCGACAACGGCGAGTTTGACTCGGCCGTTGTTCGACGTGGCAGCAGGGAGTGCGTCTCGGGCACGATTCGCCCGTTGACGTCGTTCGACGTGAGGAAAGACGGGCGCGGCTCGGCGCGAGAACGGCTACACATGCAGTATAAGGTCAAGTCATGATCAGCATTTTTTTTTCTAAAGAAAACCCAGCCCAACTGATGTAACCAGTTTCAGATTCACCTCCGCCGGCAACTGCCGCAGCCCTGACGACTTTCTCGTGGCTCGCACCCTACCGCCCTTCAAGCGCCATTACCGCGACCTTTTTCTCCCATTCCAAAGATACTCATCGTACACAGTCTTCTCCATCCCCAAAGATCTCCGCATCGCACGAACACCTCTCCACGCTCGACTCTCTAGCATTTGCAGGGCAACCGGGTGACTCATATTCGCACACAGAGTCCGCATCGGGATCTTCAACGTCAACGGCAACCTCCCATCTCAAGGCCTCTCCACCTGTTTTGACGCAAGAACGATAAGATTGATACAGTTCCCACCCCGACCGGGAATAATGCAAATCGAGCTACAGTGCATGTCATGGAGAGGTAGAGCTAGAGTTCAAAGAATCAGGATAATTATGGCTGTCAAAGAACGTAGTGCGCCTACCTATTGTACAAATGAATGCTTATCTCGTTGCAGAGTGCCTAGCAATATCTTCAGCAACCATGAGGACCACCGATCTGGAGGACGTACACCGCATCCTTGTGCGCCACCAGAGCAGCCTTGGTGAAAACTTGTTTGCGTTTTGATAGTGGCACTCGTGGCTCGAGACAATGGATCTTGTTTTGACTGCCGCCGCCGGCCGGAAGACATGCTTTGGGTATCGTATTAGGATTAATGCTGGGACGTCTGAGAGCAGTCAGTGCCGTGAAAACAATAGTATACTCGCCCACTAACTTGTTGACGACATGGTCCGACAATCCCGTGACTTTCTCCAGTGTGCTGCAGAAGGAACAGCGAGTCTTCCCTTGATGATTTGTCCCGACGACCGTGCAATGCATCGTTGTATTCGAGCAGTACTTGAGGCTTGATCTCTAACCAGACTGCGAGAGACGATCATCAGTCTACGTGTTCGAAACAAGCCTACCGGAGATTGTAATGGGTGCGAGATCCCGATTGAATGCAATAAGACTTGTGTGTGAAGGTGGGATATTTCAGGATACCGTGGACTGTGAGGCCATCAGTGAAACACATGTCTCTGACCCTGTAGGATGCGTTGAGCGGAGTTCTGGGACAAGAAGCGAAACGACGCACTATCCCTGATTGAGCTTCTCTACCTCTCGCCCACTTATATATTGGTCCTTCCATGCGGCGAGGTCAGGTGCATTCTGAAAAAAAAAAAAAAGACGTATAAATGGATGCAAGAACAGTCCGGTGAGCTTTGGCAGTTTGATCGCGGCCTCACTTCTCCAGTTCCTAGAGCAGAGTTAAGAGCGCTATCGTAGATAGAATAGTGCACACAAGGATTATACCTTGCACACTCGAAATTTCCCGGACGACAGTACTGTCGTCGTCGCGAGACTATGGCATTGCCCCAGTTTGCCTTGAGGATGATGAGTGGACGGAATTACGGGTGAATTGGCTTAAACGTACTGTGCACTTGCCGCCTCCAAGATCCACATCACGTACGCTATAGCTACAACTGAATAGTTTCGGGCGGCTTTGAGTCCTTGTGGGCACAGAGGTCATCTTCCAGGTACCAACCCATCGACCGCGAAGCTGCAGACATGTGTGAGCCAAAACTAGAGGTGTCGGAAACGACTCACTGTACGGGCCCAGTACTTCTCGAGATCGTCTTTTGTCGAGAACTGCTCGTTATCTGAATGTTCGAATGTTGTACGACCGACAAGTATCTCGAAAAACGTGATGCCGAGTGACCACACATCGGATTTTCTCGTGTCGTGCGGAAGTCCACGGGCGCGTTCAGGAGAGAGGTACTAAACGCGTAAGATGGTCAATAAACGCGTTGAGACTCCCAAGTCAGCAACGCACTTCCGGGGTGCCATACGACAACGCAGTGCTCGATTTCATGTTGTATGTCTCCGCAAACCCAAAGTCGACAAGGACGGGTATGTTCTTGGTGGAGAGGAGGATATTCGCAGGTCTACAAACGCGTTTAGTCTGTTGGTCAACAGTGGGATCGAATGGACGCACTTGATGTCGTTGTGAACAACGCCTCGTTTATGGAGGAATTCAACACCGGAGAGGAAGAAATGGAACCACTCTCGGGCTTTGGATTCGTCGACTTCGAGACTAGCTAGAGGTGTGGGTGGTTCTCAATGAGGCAACGGAGCCGGTTGGAAATGTAGAAGAGTTGCGCGATGTCCGTTGGACTGCATTAAGAATCTATGCGTTTTCGAGTGAGCGAACAGGATTTCGACGGCGAGAAAACTAGCCAACCAGCAACACAATGTCGAACGAAAAGTCCGGGAATAATGGGGAGAGGTTGGCGGGCTCGAATTTTCTCTTCCGAGGCTGATGTACGAGGTCCGGGTGCTGGGCGCGCGAGTCAACTACAGTGTAAAAGAGCAACCTCACATCAAGCGGTCACATTCGTGTGACAACGAAATTCCGTTGTCACACCGGCCTATGAAATGGCCGCAGCAAATCCTCTACTCAACGACCACAGCTATTACAAGATTCCCCCATGCATTGAGAACGAACAGAATGCAAGGCATTGCATTGCGAGCTGGCGATGTGCCGTCATCACATGACCGACGCATGCGTCGGCGACAGTCTGAGTCTCAACAATGCTCATCGACTACTGTACATTGAATGAGAATTTTAAAAATGCATCTCAGTTTCCGTTACAGCAAACAAGGAAACCTCCCATCATGTTGTCCTCCCTCGTCCTTGATACTGGATGCATCGGCCAATCGGATGTCCCATACTCGCTGGCTGTCGGCTCTGGGTATTTCCTGTGCATCTTTGCCGTTGAGGATTTATGCGCATAAATCCTCAACGGCAAAGATGCAGAGCCAGGGCAATGATGTACAGAATATGGTAGGTAATACACCAGGGAAGGCGTCTACGAAACAGATTAGAATGATAATATGTAGAGTCAGAGGTAGAAGACGCACTCCGAGTTCTCCGTGAAGCCCTCCCCTACCTACATTGGAGACGTTAGCAAAGAAGGAGGAAATATAAAGAAAGTGCATACAGAGAATGTGTATGAACAGCCAGAGCCCGAATGAAGCTCGCCAAGCCTTGCACACTCGCGAAGAAACCAAGAGCCCAAAGAACCAAGTCAAAAAACCCCCAGAGCCCAACAGTGAACCAAAATAAAACTTGCTCTGCGTAGACGCGGAGACTTGAGTACGCCCAACGTAGATGCTGAAGGCAGGGATGACCCAGAAGAAAATCCCCAGAGCCCAACAATGAACCAAAAGATGGCTCGCAACGGCATTTCAGAGCTGGTCAGCGTTCGCGCGTCCCAAACTAAACACCGCCGCACCCACTGGATTTGGCGTTCTGCACCTTGGTGCCGCCTCATCACAGCAAGCATCCAACAACCCAAAGGACCCCTCCCACTTGAATTACGGTTGGCCAGACCAACAAGGTGATGGAGGGATGAAAGAGGTGTCGCGCTGGCAGTGATCTTATAGTGAATGATTTGATGGTTTGATTGATTTTTTTATTGGTAGCGACTCTCTCTCCATGACAAGAAGGCTCTCCAATAATGTAAATACGGATACGGATACCCATGTCTGTCAATATAGTTTCCATCAAACCGTCTATCTCGACGACGGCTTTATCGTTTGCTCTCGTTTTTTTTGCTGGCTGGCGTCCCAGACCATCCCCTGCATGTTTCCGACCCATTTTGAATGCATTTTAGGCAAGATGGCCGAGTGGTCTAAGGCGCTAGTTTCAGGAAAAGGCTAGAATCGTTAGATTCTTTCCATGCGCATGCAGCGTATACTAGTCTTTCGAGGCGTGGGTTCGAATCCCACTCTTGTCATGCTTTTTCCGCTGATTTCCGAGCAGACCTTTGCCCTCTTTTTGCCTGGAGAGCGAGAGAGCATGCAGGGAGTCTGCGTTGGACGAGATTCAAGTCTGATCACACCGTATGTCCTCTTAAACAGCTTGGATTCGCTTGTACATTTACGGCCACGTATATGAAGGGCACCAGGTCAACCCAGCATCACCATCTTTGCCGCTTCTGCAGCCTCTCGCATCTTCAACAACACCGCATCCGTCTTTTTCAAATCGCCCGTCGTTGTGAACACTTCCTTGACAGTATCGCCGTCGAATCCGTGTCTCTTCGCCATGTCAAAGAGGGCCTGTCGGCCGAAGCATTCGTACAGCGCCGCGTCGGACTCGGAGGGCGGCTGGAAAGCCTTTGGCGTCAACAATCTATCGTCCGTCGACACTATACTACCGCTTTTCTCGTCCTCATCGAAAAGGGACGAGACAGATGCTGTTGGTGAGCCAGGCTCTTGAAGGATTCGCAGGGGACTGCGAGGGGACGCTCTTGGACTCGATGGTGATCCTTGTTCATTATTGAGCTGCTTGTCGGACCAACCTGGTTGCGAGGGAATATCCGGCTGGGGCGTGTTAATCCTTCGCGGGTGTCTAGCGGCAAAGAACAATGGTGCGGGTTTGTAGGCGGGAACCTGCGACACAGCATTGCTGCGGAGCCGATTCGCAGACGCCGGTTGCGCTGAAATCGTCGCCTCTAGATCTACAAGGTCCGGCTCAACAGAGTCGAAGAGAAACGAGCGCCAATCGGACAGCGTCGGTGAGCGAGCCTGAAATTCTTCGTTGCGTTGTGGTCGAGGGACAAGCAGAGTAATTGGAGTCGATCGCGCGCGCGGCAGGGGAACCAACGGTATTGGATCGCGAATGGGTGAAGACGGCGCCGAGGATGGAGTTGCTGTTACATGCTCAGGGTCATGAGCAACCGCGTCCCCAACATATGACGAATGCACTTGAGACAAAGATGCAACAACCACGTCTTGGTGAGCATTTTGAACAACAACGGTGATCGCAGGTCGGTCCTCGATGACAGCATCGTCTTCTTGATGTGAGGTGAATCCAGCTGCGAGCAACAAAGAGTCGCCGAGAGAGCGACAAGCGCCGGCGGACAGCTCTGGCGGGGCAATCATATCCTCCGGCTCGTAGACATGCCTCATTAGTGGCGATCCTGGTACATTCACCGGCCTCGCTCGACATGTCGGGTCGCCATCGTCTTCTTCTTCTTCGTCGCTACTGTCGATGCGCAGCTCGGATTTCTTCGACAAACGGAATTTGCGTGACGCCAGTAGCCGGTCCTGGTCATCGATAACTTGGCTGTCGTCGTCGCTTGTCGGTGACGAAGATGTAGTTTCGTTGAAGGGCCGAGGCGAGCTGAACCAGTTTCTCAGACGGAACCGAGCTGATGCAACGCAACTCACCTCGAAGGCTCCTCAGATTCCCTCCGCCTTTTCAGGTCCTCGTCATCATCGACGTTCCCGATGTCCGCCAGGCTCGACTCAATTACAAGGACCTTTTCGGATGGGATTTCATCCTGAGATTTACTGACGGGACGCGTTAGAGAGGGGAACAAACTGTGCAATGCAATCGCCTGACCTCATTGTACGGTATACTTGCGCTTCTCCCAACGCCGAATGAGTGTCCTCCTCCCCTTCCTCATCATCGACCCATGAGATTTCTCCCACATCGGCCACCTGTGTCTCCGATTCCGGATGGCTGGACTTGACACGGGTACGTCTGCTGAATTTTGTTGCTACGCGCTTTCTGGATCGCGTAGTGTAACCCAAGCCCGATCCGTCTTCCTCTGTGGAGTCGTCGATCCCAGTTCCCTCCTCCACCTCGAACACTTCAGAGCTGATGGTAAGGATCTTCCTGCGCCTCGGACGCGTCGATGGACCAGGCGGGCGCTCCGTCGGAAGGCCATGTGCGAGCTGGTATTCCTCCGCTCGCTCGTTAAACATTTTCTTGTTTCGGCGATAGTGGGTCCGCCAGCTAGACAATGAATGGCGGACAGCCCAAGGCTATTTCTCCGTCTGAAAAAAATCAAAATCAAAATGAGTATGTAAGAAAGAAAACCGTCCTACATTTTCGACGAGGTCGCGATATAAGTACTCTCCACAGCGGCCAGCGATAGTCGGGCTATTTTCAGCAAGGTAGCGAGTGAAGAGAGAGTCCTCCTCATCTGTAAATTGGACGCATCTATTGTAGCGTTAAATCGCTCGTTGCCACACCTTCGTAAAGACGTACGCCTCAGGGGGTTTCACCGGAGCCCGATTCTCCGCCTGGTAGACCGCCTTGATTTTTTCCTCGAAAGTGGCTCTATGCCGGAGATACCGTTGTTGCCAGCTTCGCCAACTGCGTGAATCATTCATCTAGACAGGTCCAGTCATTGTGTGCGATCTTGGCATGAAAAAGCACAGACATACCTTTTTGACGAGGGACTGATAGAGCTTGTATCCGGTCCGTGGGAGGTTTTCTGGGTTGTGGTTGATGCAAAAGTCGACGAGGAGCTGGTCGTCTTCCGGTGCAAATTTTCTGAAGAAAAGGTCACGTCTCACGGCCTGCAAAGAAAGAAAGAAAAAAACGCACTTGCCAGGAGTTGTATGTTTGGGTTGTTTCCGCTTACTCTGGCCTTTTTCTGCGTGGCCGTGGGTGAGCAAGTGAGCCGCCTCGATTTCTTTTTCGAAAAAAGCTTGTCTTCTGTGATAGTATGCTCGCCAGCTTTGGAATGTTCGTTGGTTATCTTGCCCGGTCTTGGTGAGCTGCGGCATCAACATTATCGAGGATGTTCAGACGAAGAGGAGTTTTTGGCATACCTCCGCCACCAGGGCTCGGTAGAGCAATGGTCCTGTGCGTTTCAAGCCATTCGGGTTGTTTTGGACGCAAAAGTCTATGAAAAGGCGATCCTCTGTGGGTGTGAATTTCCTCCACTATCGTTAGCATCGTGGTCGCAGACTTCTGGGGACACGAACTTGAACTTGGGGCCTGTTGAGGACTTGGGTTGAATTCGTGGCTGGCTCTGGCGTCCCATGAAGTGAAGATGAACAAAGAGCTCAAGTCCGCGTGACTTTGCTCTCAGGCCAAATAACCTCTAAATTTAAACAGCACGCGGCTGCCGGCAACTCCAGCACAACGGTTGCATTGGTAAAGTGGTACCTACAAAAACTCAAGTCCGTGTCCGTAGCCCTTCGCCCTCGCTCTCCTTGTGACACACTGGGCACCCCTGGTCCAACCGCGCACGAACAACCGACTCGCTAAAGAGACAGAGCGGAAGAAGAATCAGGGAACCCCTCAAATCAGAGAAACAAACTCTAAACTCACAAGGCGATCTTGCCACCAACGCCCCTGGCCACGCCATCTGTTATCCCGACTCCACGTAACGCAGGGTCGGGCTGTGGTGGGAGCTGCGCTGTGCCGCTGGTACATGCCGCGTGGACGACGTGGCGGCACAAAAACAGTATCACCAGGCGCTGGTGGGTCTCGACCAGCGGTTGGACGCACATCGGACACATCGACTTGCCTGCGATAACATTAATAAATAATCTTCCCAACACAGTAAGCAACGCACCAGTCAAGAAAAAACCCGCTGTCTGGTCCTTATGCAGCTTACGCGCGAAATCCGAGCTATCGCCATTCAAGATCGCCTGACAACCCTCCAGCAACGATATCTGCAGATGAAAGTCCTGAAGAATCTTCACGAGCGCTTCTTGCAATCCAGGAATCTCCAACCCATTTTTGATGCGGCGGATGAGGCGAATTGGGCTGATTTCCGGTCCAACGTTCTCGAGGAGGCCGCGGATGAAGGCTGTTGTAACGAATACATCAATTCGACGAAGAATAAGGAAGGAATACGGACTTGGTCGAGTTTCCGAGTACCTCAAGAGATCTTCCCAAAGATCATCATCGTTTTGCTCCTTTGCAAAGTCGATGGCCTGGACCCGAACGATGAGCTCGACATCAAGGTAAAGGTCGGCTGAACGAACCCGATGCACATCTCCCAGCCTCTCGATGATCAACGTCAGCGCCTGCTTGTTGTTCCCCATCCGCCCGAGGAGGAACACCAGCTCCGGTACGAGGTTGCGCTCTTCGCAGATTTTATACGCCTAACAACGAAATCTTCAGTAAATAAACGCGGCCGAATAAATGCAGACCTTTTCAAGGTTGTAGTCGTTGCTGGCACGTAAAAAGTCGATCAGCCGCGGGGTAGCGAACTCGGCGTACAGTTTGACCTTGCACAAAGACATCAGGGAAAACAATTCAAAGAAGGAACTTGGCGCACCTGTACGTCTGCGAATTCGGTCACCATGTGCGGTTCTTTCTCCATTAACGCATCGAGGTAGAGGAACAGGAAGTAGGGTCGACTTTGGAGCTGAGTGACTACCCGACCGACCTAAATGATCGTGTCCTTGAGACATTCCTCTTCCTTGAGGACAGACTCACCGGAATCGAATGAATATGATCCACCAACAACTGAATCGCCTCACTCTTCCCTCCCTGCGGCTGCCCACGCTTCTCCATCAACTCATGGTCAAACTCCACAAGCTGCAGCGCCTGGTCCTGCACGTCCGTAAACAGATTGTTGTCGCGGATGAGATCGAACACGTTCGGGCGGCGTAAGCGAAGGAGGTATGTGAGCGCTTTTCCGGGTTGTCGGTTGGCGATGTATCTTTGAGTGGGATAATTAGAGAGAGCCGGGAAAGGGAGGAATAACATACAGTTCAGCGAGACATTCCATAAGGGTTACCTTGTCGGATGGCGGCGGAGAGGAAGCAGATGAGGAGAGGTTCAAGTTGGACGTCGACGCAGCCCGGTCGAGTTCCGCATGTACAGCAACGATGACCGCCGAGATGTCGTAGATATCCTTTGGCCACTCTTTGATGGTTTGAAGGAGAGTCTGTCGAAAGTGGTCAGAGTGATACGCAAAGTTAATGGACTATGTACCTTGCGGTCATGCGACAAAAAGTGCGCCAGAATCATCTCATACAC